TACTCAATGCAGATCTAAGCCCAGTGGTCAGTTCTCAGACTGCGCCTTGTGTGACCTACCAGCATCTTTTGGCGTAGTCCATCACTCCCTCCTCCATACATTTTCTCTGCCTGGCCTCCAGGATGCCACGAAATTCAGGTGTTGCTCCTAGTCAGGACTTACTCTCTTCTGCTCCCCTCACCCTATTCCCACCCCAGAACTCAGCTTCTCTGGCCTCATCTCCTATCAGGGTCCCCTCATTCTCTATCACTAGTAACACAAGCTGGCCTCTTTGCTGTTCCTCAAATAAGTCAGTTTAAAAGGTCTCATCTTTGCTCTCATCTCTGCCTGGAATGCTCTTTCCTCAGCTCCTTTAAGTTTTTGTTCAAATGTCACACAATCAATAACACCCTCCCTGACTACCATATTTAATATTGCAATATCTACCAGCCCTTAAACTTACTACTCCCATTTATTTCTTTCATGACATTTACCATTTTCTAACATACTGCAACATTTATTTATTCAATTTAAGTCTTCCCTTTGGCCAGAATATGGTCACCTTATCATTCAAAAGTTATTTGATGCAGATTTTTTATTGCAGACACCTGGCCTGTAGTAAGCATGCAGCCAATCATTGTCAAATTAATGAAGCTTTGGCTTCTAGCATATGCGTTAAAATAAATATCACTATTGGAGACATTATATCAAAAAGCTGAGACATACTTAGGACCCCAAACTAATGAACAAAATATTCAATAATAAACTATGTTAAGTTCCCAGAAGATTGCTCAGAGCTGGCTTGGCCAACATAGAGAACCGTTTCCATAACCATGGTGGGAAATACCAATCTTGAAAAGAGATGCCTCTCAAATCTTTAAGTGAGCCAGTACCCTAGGTAACTAAATGAGTAGAGAAAGTTAGGTTCTGGTTTACACATAAGATTATCCAGTTGCCAGCCCTCAAATGCTGTCGCCCCATGAGCAGTTTGCTCTTAAATTCTTCAAGTCTTCGAGTAGACATAATCATTTTACAGAAGCCCAATTCAGAAACAATTATACTGCAACATAAGCAGTAGAACCATTTCATGCCAAGCTAATGACTCTAGGACATGCAAGGCATGACTCTCTGTACAAATCCACTTTAGAGCAGAGGTCAAAACCATTAAACTAATGGTGAACTTGAGTCCCTGGGCTCTGAGTGCCCCATGACTCCAGGGGATTGAGATTTGTAAGAAAAATACTAAACATAGAGTCATGTATAAACACTCTAAAGGATTCTTTATACAAATGCCTTTTTGTCTAAAATCAGAACTCTAGAAAATAGAACATATGTTTCTACATTTAAATTGTTAAAAATCATTAAAAAGACATTCAAGAGTTGAAGAAAAAGAAAAAAATTCTCAGCATGAAGTATGAAGATATTACTGCTTGACTTTAATAAGAGTTCTATTACATCTGTTCTTTTCTGTTTAAAATGTTCATTATAAAGCTTTAGTCCCTTTCCGTTTTCTTAAAAATCCAAGCTTTGCAACTTCTGAGAGATTTGGTGTTAGTGTGATGAGCTACCTTTCCCCTCCCCAAGAAACATCCTTATTGAGACTGAGTTTCCTTGGGCTGGTGGGGGGAGGAGGTGGTGAGTGACCTGGCCATATGATGTCAACATACTACCACAGAAGACAGAGATGAAAAACCATGTTCATGGACTTTTAAATTTAAATATGTAAAATCCTTATAACAAAAAACACTCCTACACAGAGACTAGCTAGCTCTTCACCAAGCATTTTCTATTCTTGCCCCAATTTCCCAGCCTCCCTTGAAGTTAGCCATAACTGAAGGCCAGCCAATGAAATACGAACAGAAGTGATGTATACCATCCCCAGGACTTAGCATATAAAATTTCTGGAGCAATGTCAGTTTGACGTAGATGGGTGTGGCAACCTTAGAAGTCCTAGGTCAGAGATGGCAGAGCCACAGATGGAAGAAGCCCAAGAAAGAGCTATAAATGACGACTTTGAAGAGAATTACCTATTGAAATAGAACCAACATTGGACATTACATAGATGTTAACATAATTTTATTGGCTGGACATAGTGGCTCATGCTTGTAATTCCAGCACTTTGGGAGGCTGAAGTGGGCAGATAGCTTGAGCCCAGGAGTTTGAGACCAACCTGGGCAACATGGCAAAATCCTGTCTCTATAAAAAATACAAAAATTAACTGGGCATAATGGCATGTGCCTGTTGTCAGGAGGCTGAGGTGGGAGGATTGCTTGAGCCTGGAAGACAGAGGTTGCAGTGAGCCAAGATGGTGCCACTGCACTCCAGTGTAGGTGACAGAGCAAAACCCTGTCTCCAAAAAAAATAAAAATAAAAATAAAAACTTTTTTTTGTCTTGCTGTGTTACTATAGCTCTCATTACTTTAACAACATGGTATCTTAGTTCAGAATGGTAAAACTCAGTGAAGAATTAAATTACTAATGCCTAATCTATTTAAGGTAAGCAACTGTACACCAAGCTCTAACATACATTGTCTCCGAGCACTCAAACTCAACAGGCTTGCAACAGTTGTAAAGAGACTAATACCAGGGTCTTCTTTTTAATAGCTAAAGCTTTCAATTCGCTAAACACTCGAAACTTCCATAAATAATGTAAAAACAAAGATTTTGTGTTGCTCTTGCTACTGTTGAATAAAAAGAGTCATGGCCTTCTTCACTCTGATCAAGCTTCTCCCAATCCAAACTTTCAAGAAGCCTGAGCATTGGAAAGAGTAGGGGAAGAAAAATAAAAGATCTGGGAGAAGGAAAGCATCCTTGAGCCATTGATCATCTGCACAGGGTAAGGGAAGAAATTTTGGATTCAATATAAAATTGAAGTTCTTTTATATTCTTTACACGAATAAGACTTTTAGTGCCTCAAAATATCTTAATAATTAAAACAAGGAAAGGTGGAATAAAAACAACAGATAAACAAATAGAAACATAGATATAAATCTTACCATATCTGCCAGTCACCATGGCTTACATCTGTCCATCACTTCAGGAGGCCAAGGTGGGAGGATTACTCTTGGCTAGGAGTTTGAGACCAACCTGGTCAACATAGCAAGGTCCCATCTCTACAAATTTTTTTTTTTTAAACTAGTTGGGCATGGTGGCTTATGCCGGTAATTCCAGCTATTAGGGAGGCTGAGATGGGAAGATTGCTTGAGCCCAGGAGTTCGAGGCTGCACTCGAACTCCACTGTACTCTAGCCTGGTCAATGGAGAAAGACCCTGTCTCTAAAAATATAAAATAATTTTAAAGAAACCTAATCATATCAGTAATAACGTTAAAAGTAATAACATTAAAAGTAAATGGTCTAACCATCCTAATTAAAAAGCAGAGATTGTCAGGCTGGATTAAAGAACACAACCTAACCACATGCCATTTATAGAAATCACACTTTAACAAATTAACAATATTGGGAACAAGAAAAATAACAATGCTACAAATTTGACAGTTATTAAAATGATAATAAGGGAATACTATGAGCAATTTTATGTCAATAATTTCAACAACATAAGGAAAAAATGGACAAATTCCTTGAAATATACAAATTATCAAAGCTCACTCAAGAAAAAAATAGGTAACCTCATTAGTCCTATATCTATATCAAAAGGTGAATTTATAGATAAAAACCTTCCCAAAGAAAACTCCTGGCCCAGATGCTTTTATTGGTCAATTCTACCAACATTTAAGAAAATAGAAAATCAATTCTATACTAACTCTCTCCAAAAAGACATCCAGATTGGAAAGTGAGAAGTAAACCTATTGTTATTCACTGATGACATGATCGTCTATGTAGAAAATCCAACAGGTCTACAAAAAAAAGTCACTAGAACTAACAAATAAACTCAAGATTGTAGGATAAAATTAATTTGCAAAAAGTCCATTTTTATTTCATACACAAGCAATGAATATTTGGAAATTGAAATGTTAAAGTATGTGTAATTGCATAAAAATATACTTAGGGATAAATTAAACAAAAGATTGTAAGATCTATAAACAGAAAAATATAAAATATTACTGAGAAAAATTAAAGAATATTTACACAATTAAAGATATATACCAAACTAGTTTGGAAGACTCGAAATTGTTCTCCCCAAATTGATACATAATGGCAATATCAAAATTAGCAGACAGAAGGAAACAATAAAGATTAGAGCAGAAATAAATAAAATAGAGAACAGAAAAAATCAGAGAAAATCAACAAGAGTTGATTTTTTGAAAAGTTGAAATTGACAAACCCTTAGCCAGACTAACTATAAAAAAGAAAGAATAATTAAATAAATAAAACCAGAAATTAAAGTGGAGACATTACAACAGATACCTAAGAAATTAAAAGGATCATAAGGGACTATTACAAACCAATATATATGAACAAATTGGATAACCTCAAGGAAATGGATAAATTCTTAGGAAAACACAAACCACAAAGATTTAATCAGGGAAAAATAGAAAGCCTGAACAAACCCATAACAGATAAAGAGATTGAAGTAGTAACTTAAAACCTCCCAACAAAGAAAAGCCCAGGACCAGATGGCCTCACAGCTGAGTTCTACCAAACATTCAAAGAAGAATTAATAACATTCCTTCTTAAACTTTTCCAAAAAATGTAACTAGAGGGAATCCTTCCAAACACATTTTATGAGGCCAGCATCACCTTAATACCAAAGCCAAACAAATATACCACAAGAAAAGAAAACTAAGGCTGATATCTCTGATGGATGCAAAAATTTTAATAAAATATTAGCAAACTGTTTTCAACAACACATCAAAAAGATCATACATCATGAACAATTGGAATTTATTCCTGGAATGCAAGTCTGGTTTAATATATGCAAATCAATCAATGTGCTACATCATATTAACAGAATGAAAGATAAAAACCACATGATCATTTCATCAGATGCAGAAAAAGCATTTGACAAAATCAACATCATTCATGATAAAAACTCAACAAAATGGTTACAGAAGGAACTTACCTCAACACAATAAAGCCCACATGTGAAAAGCCCACTGCTAACATCATAATCAATGGAGAAAAACTGAAAGGTTTTCCTCTGTGATTCGGCGCAAGGCAGGGATGCTCACTCTTGATACTTTTATTTGATACAGCCAGAGCAACTAGGAAAAAAAAAAAAAGTAATGGGGAACCAAATCAGAAAGAAATAAGTACAATTGCCTATGTTTGCAGATTACATGATCTCATATAAAGTAAATCCTAAAGACTCCACAGAAAGAACTGATAAACAAATTCAGTAAAGTTGCAGGATTCAAAAACAACACACAAAAAATAGATGATATTTCTATATACTAACGATGAACTATTCAAAAAGGAAATTAAGAAAACAATCCCATTTACAATAGCAGAAAAAATAAATAGGAATAAACTTAACCAAAAAGGTTAAGATTTGTACATTGAAAACTGTAAAACTTTCGTGATTAAATTAAAGACACAGACCAATGGAAAGACAACCCTCGTTCATGGGTTGGAAGAATTTATGTTGTAAAAATATCCAAAGTGATCCACAAATTCAATGCATGGCATTCTTTACAGAAAAAGAAAAAACAATCCTAAAATCACAAAAGACCCCATTACACATACAATTTGTTTTTACTTTAAGTTCTGGGGTACATGTGCAGAATGTGCAGTTTTGTTACATAGGTATACATGTGCTATGGTTGTTTGCTGCACCCCTTAACCCGTCACCCACATTACGTATTTCTCCTAACGCTATCCCTCCCCTAGCTCCCGACCCCCGCAACAGGCCCCGGTGTGTGATGTTCCCCTCCCTGTGTCCCTGTGTTCTCATTGTTCAACTCCCACTTATGAGTAAGAACATGCGGTGTTTGGTTTTCTGTTCTTGTGATAGTTTGCTGAGAATGATGGTTTCCAGCTTCACCCATGTCCCTGCAAAGACATGAACTCATCCTTTTTTATGGCTGCGTAGTATTCTATGGTGTATATGTGCCACATTTTCTTTACCCAAGGACCCTATATAACCAAAGTTATCTTTATCAAGAAGAACAAAGCTGGAAACATCAATACTTTCTGATTTCAAAATATATTACAAAACCATAGTAACCAAAATAGTATGATACTGGTATAAAAATAGTTACATAGACTATTGGAACAGAATTTTAAAGTCCAATGTCCAAACTCAAGAAAAATAGAAGCAAAATAGGAAACCAGAAATAAATCTGACTTATAACTATAAAAGCAAAAATTCTAAATAAGTATTAGCAAAGAGATCTCTCAATATATCAAAAGACTAAGTAGAGTCTATTTCAGGAATAATAGGTAGGTTACTATCAGGAAATTAATATATCCATTGAATTAAGTGCAGCAAAAAAGCAAAAGATAAAAGCACATATCCTATCAATAAATACTTAAAAGGCATTTGACGAAATTCAGTAGCCAGTCCTTACTAAAATAGGGCTAGAAAGAAACCACTTAAATTCAACAAAGAAATTTTCTAAAAGCTAGCAGCAAATTTTAAAATCATAACTACATAAAGATGATCTGTTTCACATTATGTTAATGCTATTACAGGTATTATAGTATATATAACATGAAAACAAATAACTGGCAGAAGTATTCGAAAAGATGAGAAAAAACTATTTTTGGTGGTTACATGATTGTATACCTGCATGCATAGAAAAAAAATCAAAAATTGTAGTAAAAAATTGTAAAATTAATTTTAAAATTTGTACTAATTTCTGAATTCAAAATAAATATTTTTAAAAATTAGCAGATTTTCAGCCAGGCGTGGTGGCTCATGCCTATAATCCCAGCACTTTGGGAGGCTGAGGTTGGTGAATCACCTGAGGTCAGGAGTTCAAGACCAACCTGGCCAACATGGTGAAACCCTGTCTCTACTAAACATACAAAATTTGGCCGGGTGTGGTGGCAGGCACCTGTAATCCCAGCTACTCAGGAGGCTGAGGCAGGAGAATCACTTGAAGCCAGGAGGCAGAGAGTGCAGTGAACCAAGATCACGCCATTGTACTCCAGTCTGGGCAACAAGAGTGAAACTCCATCTCAAAAATAAAATAAAATAAAAGTTTATTTATAGTATGCAAAAATCTCTTACAAATACATAAGAAACAAGTAACTCAATAAAATAATGGGCAAAGACAATTCACAGATGGGTAAATCAGTGGCAAACAAACAAATGAAAAGATATACAAATTCACAAGTAGTAACCATGGACATGCAAAATGCAGTAACAATATGATTATCACTACCATCCATCAGACTGATAACAATTTGAAATGCCATAACAGCTATTGCTGGCTGGACGTAATGAAATGGGTACTCTCTGAGATTGCTTATGGGAAGGGGACGTGTTTGGACCTTTGGGCAAAGCAATCTGGCATCATTTCTTAGAGGTAAAACACACACCCACACTTAGGCCACTTAGCAATAACGTTCCTGTGTGTTCCATAAAAATCAATTTCTTTGTAAAGACATATGTAAAAAGATATTAACTGTAGCATTATTTTGTAAAAATGCAAAAAATTAGCCAGGCATGGTGGCAGGCACCTGTAGTCCCAACCTCGGCCTCCCAAAGTGCTGTGATGACAGGCATGAGCCACCATGCCCGGCCAAAGTATACTTTCTAATATGTTCAAATATATAGGATTTAAAATATTTTAGAGAAAAATATGAATACATCAAGAGACAAAATTCTGCTTCTCTAGTGATCAAAGAATTCCAAGGTGAAAGAATGAGTTACCATTTTTCCTTAGAAGATTAGAAAAGATTTTAAAAGCTGATAATACCAATTGATTGTGTGGATGTAGAGAATTAAACACTCTGGATGCTTTGTGCTTTGTGAATGTAAATTGTTAGAACCTTTCTGGGGCATACTCTGGCAATATTTATGAAAAGCCCTTAAATAATCAGTGTACAATCCTACAGAAATGTATATAAAGAATAAGGATAGTCAGTATTATCAAGAAATTATAAGCAAGTTACCTAAATATGTAAAGTGCATAGTGCAAACTTGAAATATTATTAACATTCAATAAATGTCCTAAAACTGAGGGATTTGGTTAATCAATTGGTAGTTGATATGGTTTGGCTGTGTCCCCACCCAAAGCTCATCTTGAATTGTAGCTCCCATAATTCCCACGTATCATGGGAGGGGCCCAGTGGGAGGTAATTGAATCATGAGGACAGGTCTTTCCTGTGCTGTTCTCCTGATAGTGAATAAGTCACAGGAGAGCTGATGGTTTTATGAAGAGGATTCCCCTGCACAAGCTCTCTCGCCTGCTGCCATCCATGTAAGATGCGACTTTGCTCCTCCTTGCCTTCTACCATGATTGCAAGGCCTCCCCAGTCATGTGGAACTGTGAGTCAATTAAACCTCTTTCCTTTATAAATTACCCAGTCTCAGGTATGTCTTTATTAGCAGCATGAGAACAGACTAATACAGTAGTCAAGCTCAGGAGGAGAAAAAAAAAATAATGAAATCTTTAATAATTAGTACTAGCATCCTGGAATGGAAAACAATGCAAGTTTTTAAAATGATAATGCAGATCTATGTTCTGATTTAGAAGAACATGAACAAAATCCAAAATATTATTAAAGGGAAAAAGGAAACTGTAAAGCAGTATCTTTGAAAATGCATTTGCAATTATATTTTGTAGAAAAAAAAATCTGAAAAGAAGTGCCTAAAAATGTTAACAGTGGTTATCGCTGAATAGTGGAATTTCTGAGGTTCATTTCTTTTTTTCCATCTATGTTTTCTCATTTCTTTCACAATCAGAGTGCATTGTTGCATAATTTTTAAATTTTCCAAAGCATCACAGTGTGGATGAATGTTTAGAATAGGGAATCAGAATCCTAGCTCCTTAATGTAATAGCAGTGTGACATTAGGCATTTTACTTTTAAAAATCTGTTTATACATCTGTTGATTAATGATACAGAACCAAAATAAGCCATCTCCTGGTCATTCCAAATCAACAGGCTTTTGCCGTACTTGAATCCACAGGCAGTGAGGAAGAGGGTGCATGCTGACATTAGTTCACACTAGCAAAACTTCATGTTGCTCAAATAGATATTCAAAAGACAGGCTCAGATGCAGGAACTTGTGGAGTTATTTTCAAATGTCTCATGACTTGAAAGAACAGGTGTTGGAGGAAACTGTGTCTACATACTTGCTAGGAAAGCATTCTCAGGTTTCTTTTCTAATCATGGAAAAGATGATACATTAATGGGACTATTACCCCTACTTTCTGAAAACAGCCAAGCAACCAGATGCATGAAACCCATATTCAGGAGCAATGAAGTCATGGTTAAAAGTCCCAAGCATTCTAGCAATGAAGCTAAAAGAATTATATAACCTACAAGTCCCAACAAGTTTCACCAGGTCCACCATGTACCTAATAAAACTCTTCTGAGGACCATTAAAAGACAATTCTAAATTCATCTATCAGGACCTTTGGATCAACTCCAACAAAATACAGAATGTCTCTGACGGGGCTGTTTAGAGATACAATTGCTGCATGCTCAAAATTACTTTGGAAGACAAAAGGAATTTTTGATTTACAAACAGAAAGAGAAAAGGAGAGGACATTCTATTCTGGAATCAATAACCTACAATGACAATGAAGAGCATGAAGAGGGGTTGAGACCTTTATGCTGCTCAGGGAGGACAAGAGAGGTAGGGCAGTGAGACATTGCAGGGACACCCACATCCTCCACCAGCCCAGCACCGTCCTTGGAATCAATGAGCCTCTGATTTTCTTTAATATTTAGAGCAAACAATTCCGCTTTGGGAAAGAATGAGAGGGCCGAGCCTCAGGATGAGTTCTGTGTAGCCTAGTAAAAATGATGTAAGCCTACCGCGTGTGGTGGCTCACACCTGTAATCCCAGCACTTTGGGAGGCCGAGGGGGCTGGATCACGAGGTCAGGAGATCGAGACCATCCTGGCTAACACGGTGAAAACTCGTCTCTACTAAAAATACAAAAAAGAAAAAATTAGCCAGGCGTGGTGGCAGGCGCCTGTAGTCCCAGCTACTCCTACTCAGGAGGCTGAGGTGTGAACCCAGGAGGCGGAGTTTGCAGTGAGCGGAGATCGCACCACTGCACTCCAGCCTGGGCAACAGAGTGAG